TTCCTCTAAGGGCGCGGGACTAGAGGTGGGATTCGGGGAGGGGGAGGGGAGGAGCGCGGCGGGGCTGGGGCGCTGGTAAGGCCCGAGCCCGGGGCCCAGTCCCGAGCCGCAGGGCGGCCCCCGCGGCGCGGCCCCCGCCCTGGCTCGCCTGCCCGCCACCGCTTTTTCCTCCCGGATGCGGAGGCTGCACCGCGGTCCAGAGCAGGGCGAGCGCCAGGCCTGGGGACTCCAGGCAGGGGCCGGTCCCGGGGCGGCCGGGGGCTGGGGCTTCTGGGACTGGACCCCGTTTCGGGCTCAGGTTTGGGGGGGAGGGTTTGCCCTTTCTCCTTTAGAGGGAAGTGGGGGCATTGGAGACATCTTGCTCAATGGCAGAAGGCCGGTCTTAGAGACTAAATGCTGGACACAAGGTTTAAGAAGCATTAAAAAAAAAATGTGACTGTACAGCTTTGATCCCCTTACAGGGATTGTACCTCTTTTGCAACTTTTTTGAACAATGCTAAGAGGAAAGAGGCCCAGTGTGTTCTGGAGGGCACTTAATTCTTCCAGCTTCCATTGCTTTCCTTGGAGAGGTCAGCCTTTTGTGGCGGAAGGGGGATAGCTCCCTAGCCCATCATTCATCAGAGGGACACTGTAGTGTGTACTTCAGACCAGGGCCGGCTGGATGGGACTTCCAGCTTCCGATCCTGCCTTACCCTCATTGGATGTGTGATCTTAGACTAGTTTAGGTAGCCCTGTGCCCCAGTTTCCTCTTCTGTGAAAATGGGCCTAATAATGTCTATCCCATAGGTTGTTGTAATAATCAAGTGAATTCATACATGCTGAACCCTTAAAACTATGCCAATCATGTAGTAAGCGCCCAATTGTTTTGATGGTGGGCCTCCAACCTGGGCCCCCACCCCTGGCAGAGAGGTGGCCTGCCCCAGGGAATGGGTGAAGGCTGGTCCAGGAGACTTCTCAGCCTTCCTTGGGGGAGGAAAGGGGAGCTATTCAGAGCAGAGAGAAGTAGAAAAGCAGCAGACTGAAAAAGAGGGGGAGGAGAGAGTGAGAAAATTCACCACTAGAAAATTAACCATTTAGTAATTAGGACTGTGCCATCTTTTCCTAGCGGAGTCTGGAGAGAAGACCAGATTGGGCAAGTAAGTGGACGCTGATTATCCAGGTTTGTTCCACTTTGCAGCCAAGAACCAAAGTCAGCTCTTAATTTCAGCCCCAGGTTCTTGGCAGTTCCCCTAGGTGACTCCACAGTGAGATGGGAATTCCTAATTAAGTGACTCCATGGTGAAACATGCATAAATCATCACCTTATCTATAAAGATGTGCATCCCAGGCTCCGATGGGGTAACCTGGCAAGGCTTTTTCTGGCCCACATCCTTTCTTACCAGGTAGGAGAGAGGGCTCCCCCTGACCCTCCTGTTTATTCTAGTGTTGTGATAGGCCACGGAGACAGCATTTCTGAGACCCCTGGACCTTTCCGGGAGCCCGCATCCGGGGCTGTGTGTCAGGGCATTCCCCACTGTCACCCTGAGTGTGTCTCCCAACATACCCTGCCCAGGAATAGCAGTCATAGTCATTGCTGGGAGTGTCTGCAAGGTGAGTCCCCCCAGGGAGCACTGACATTGATTTAATGCTCACACACACACCCTCCCCCACGTACTCCGAGCAACTGCAAGGCTCTCAGTAATAATGGTGAAAGAAATTGATTTCCCTCTCCCCCAACCCCCTTTCTTCACGCATCAGAATGGAAGGATCCTAATGGGCCCTGATGCCATCTGGGTGATTGGGGAGAAAAGGGCTGCCTGGCTTGTCAGCGGTGAGTTCCGGGCTGGTGTGCACATGGAGGTTTGTTTGGGGCAGTGTTTTACTTATCACGGTTTGGGGGACCCAACTTTCCTTAGATGAAAGGAGTAACAGAGGGAGGGACTGGCAGAAGCTGGAAGGAGAAAGACAGCCGGTCTTTCTAACTCTGGCTCTGGCTCTGTGGCCCTCCTTCCCCCCCACCCCTCGCCTTTTTCTCCCTCCTCTCACCCCCTCTCTGCTCTGTTCTCTCCCTGCCCACAGTCTTCCTCTGTTAAGCCCTGGGGTCTGCCCTACCATTTTCCTGGTGGTTGCAGCCCCAGCCCCTCTACGTCGTGATGACTGTCGTAACACTCCTTCCAGTTTCACTTCCCCCTGTTCATCTGTTCTGGGGTTGAGTTTTTCCAGAAGAGGAATCTGACTGACAGGCCTCACTGGGTCATGGGTCAGCAATTGTGTGCCCATCTCAAGAGTAAGCATGTGGAAGGAGAGCTGTATATTTTGCATCACAGGGAATGCAGGATGCAGGACCCTTAAGCCCCCTTCCACCCCTGGGAATCTTAGGGGCATCTGAGCCAGTAGAACTAACCCAGAATCACTCTCTACACTAATAGGTTACACCCAGCGTCCATGCTAAGGCAGCTGATTAATTGTGTCAAATCATGACCACCCTCATCTCTCTGCCAGAATTTGGCTTGGGAAGATGTAGATTTAATCCCTGTTTGGATCAAGAAGATACAGAGAGAAATATACTTGTGTCTTCTAGGAAAGGAGTCCTCGAGAGTCCTGGGAAGCTTCTCTTTATTTCCAACCATACATGAATATGGAAGTATTTTTAACTCAGTAGCTCAGTTCCTCTGGACGACATCTTGTGCCCATGAGGGGAGCCAAATTGAAGCTTAGTAGATCTAGAGCCCTGATCACACCGTACCTGAAGCATAATTCTAGTCTTTCTGCTGTATTAGTCAGTACAGTTCTTTTGTTTAAGCCACTTTATATCATGGTCCTGTTACTTGCTGCCAGATGCTTGATAACTGATACATAACTATAGCCAGATCATTTTTCCTGAAGCCACAAGACATTCCCAAGCTCAAAACCCTTAAAACTTCAATGGTTCCCATTGTCTAAGGATACAAATCCAAACTTCTGAGTCTAGCAGTGAAGGTCCTCCTTGATATGGTCCCAATGTAGGTTTCTTATTCATTTTCTCCCAATATTTCTCTTTATGAGCCCTGTGTAACAGACATGATGCAGCCCAGAAGTTCTGGTTAAATGACATGTATGTCCTTGAAATTAACATGGATCTCCATCTTGCTGGGCCAGTGAAGATTTCACTAACAGCCATCATGGGGCTCTCCAACCCCTGCAGTATATAAAGATCTGGAGGTCTCATGCAAGGCCTGGTGTGTGGGAACTCTGCTTCCTAGCAGTCCTCACTGTATCAGTAGAGCCTTTGCTGTTCTGGGTTGCCAGACCTGGGAACACTTTTGTCCTTGGGTCCAGTCTTCCTGAATGTGTTCATTTCCTAGTGCTGTGGTAACAAATTACTACAAACTAGGTGGCCCCAAGCAGCAGAAATACATTTTCTCACAGTTCAGGAGGCCGGAAGTCTGAAATCAAGGTGCCACCAGGCTTGGCTCCTTTGGGAGCTCTGAGAGAGAATCCGCCCCGTGCCTCTCTCCCAGCTTCTGGTGGCTCCTGGCGGTCCTTGGCCTTCTTTGGCTTGTAGATGATCCCCTTGATGTCTGTCTCCCTTTTCACATGACTGCATGTGTCTATATGTGTATGTGTGTGTATGTGTCTGTCTGTCTTCTCCTCTGGTAAGGACAGTGGTCATTGGATACTTAGGGCCACCCTAATCTACCAGATACTCTGCTAAGTGCTGGGGATGTGGAGATGGACAGAACACAGCCCCCACCCTCCGGGAGCCCACAATCTTTCAGGGGACTGAAGTTGCTGGGAATTTCAGCACATTGGGGCCATGCTGTGATAGGCTAACAGGTGGGCACTTAGAGGGTGTTGGTTCATGAGCTCAGGAGCCTTTGGGGTGAAATCTGAAACTGGCCCCATGCACAGAAGACAGGGAGAGATGGAAGAAAGAGATTGGTGAGTGGCAGGTTTAATAAGCAAGAGAACTCACTTGTAAAGTCTTATCTTGGGGGCCTCAAGATGAGTAGACCTCTGAACCTACCTTCTAGAAACTTAAAAGTTTATAGAGAGGTCTTAATGAGGTTCAGTCATACACACCATCCAGGTGGTCTCAGCAACACTTGGTTCTCTCAAGGCTGCGTCCCTGAAAACAGCTCCCACTGTGGGAACAGGATGCGGTTGAGGCGGCGCGTACATTCCAAGGACAAGGGAGGGGGGTGAAGATCCTCCACCTGTCCTGAGCCAGCTCTCCTTTCAGCTGGCGGTCACGTCCTCTGGATGACCTCCTCCACCCGGGGATAGCTCCTGGGGACAGGTGTCCTGGGATCTCAGGGTGAACGAGGAAGTGTGCAAGAGGCATGAGCTCATCCAGTTCACCCACAGCCTTGCAAGCCAGGTGGGGCGGTCTGGTCTTTACTCGGAGAACCGTTAGAAGCTCGGAGACTTCACAGAATTGGGCAGAGGCAGTGGGGACACAGTGACATTGACATGCCGGCCAGACCACTTGGGCAGCCTTGTGAGGCACGGAGGGGCGTGTCCAGACTGGAGGCAATGATCATTCCAGTAATCCAGGTTTCAGGGGTCTGACCGGAGGGAGGCGCAGAAGCCTGGGCAGAGGCAGATGAATTTCAGAGGAGAGAAAATAAGCAGAACATGTCCACAATGGGTCAGGGGCCGTGAGAGGAGGGGGACACTTACATCTCTGTGTTGGCAACAAATCCGGCAGTGACATTGTTAGGTACACTCTCCCAGTGTCCATCTCCTACTTCTTTCTTGCAACGGAGTTACATGGTTAACACACACGTTCACACACAGATGGGCACGAGACATCTGGAGAGGCGACAGCCACCTCTCATGGCAAGACGAGCATGAGCGTGATAGGGTTAAAAGCTAGAGCACATCCATGTGCCTTGGGCTTCTCGAGGCATAGAGGCTGGATTTTGAGACAGAGCATCGCAGGGGAACCAGATAGAAGCCGTATGCCCTTGGTGACCCAGCTTCCGAAGTAACCGTAAGGTCATCCTTGTGTTCTGCTCCTCGAGCACTCGCAAGCCTGTCCAGACATGAGGGAGGGGATGGAGCAGCAGAGTTGGCAGTCCACAAGCAGTTGAATGTTTAGGACTGGGCAGCAGGACTAGATTCACAGGCAACAGGTGGTGGTGGAGACCAGGTATGGATGGCAGATCACCTGGAGATGTTGGGGACAATGAAGAGGGACAAGGTTGGAGCCCTGAGGACGTGGTGATTGTTAGTAAATGGTTATGGAATATATAATTCATTCAAGAACAGAACTTTATAGGTAGCCCCCCAGGTCAGTGGCTCTTCATTCTGGTCCCAAGCGGGAGAAGAATCACAGCCAAGAAAGTCTCCAGTTACTGCCTGGAGCCAGACAAGGAACCTTTAGTCTACTTTTCAAACTTCAGTGTGGACAAGGATGACTCCAGGAGGCTTATTCTAAGCACAGAGTCCTGCGTCCCACTCCCGGAGATTTGAAATTCACTAGACCTGCAGCCGGGTCTAGGAATCTGCCTTTTTAAACAAATTCCTTCTGTAAAACGGCCACAGGGGTGGGTGGACAGCACCTTACTCAGCCACTCAACCATAAATCCCAACAGGGCTGTGGACAAAGTCTTTTTGATAAGATGTTCTGGCCCCAAGTCCTGGCTCTGCTACTCTGTAGCCACTTGCCTTTGGACAGTTTCCTTTCTCTGAAGACTTTCTTGTCTGTACCATTAGGAGGTTGAGTTGGAGCAAAGTTTTCAAACTGCTCTGTCGGACCGGAGGGGCTTGCACACTGGGTACCCACCTCCATTAATCCATTTTGCAAATATTTATTGAATAGCTGGATACTGGGGATATTGTAGTATCCATGATTAATTTTCATTATGGAAGTTATTTCCAAAGAGAAGCACAAGCAGAGGTGACATCCAATTGTGCGTGCCCTTCCACGTGGGTTGCCATTTGGACAAACTGTTCCCAGGATGGAAACAACTGGCTTAGATAATCTTAAGGGTCCTCGCAACCGGAAACCTTTTGTTCTATGATGTTTTTCAATGATTTTATTTCTGAGTAAAGTCGAAATAAGCAGAATGCAATTACTGTATTTGAAATATGTCAGGGACCCCAAGGTTAACACTTTCATTCTTGATAAGAAATTGCGGGCTCTTTAAGGATCGAAAATGGTCTCTATCATGGTTTTCTGACATTTAAGAACCAGCACTTTCACCTGAGAAATTGAAGGAAAGAACAGACTGCGAAGCTGAGCCCTGCTTGCTTGCTGGAGGAAACAGCAGAGCGGAGGTAGGGCGGCGGCTCCAGCCAGAGGATGATTTACGCTTTCTGAGCCTTCCAGTTTTTGTCTGCAGAATGGGCAGATGGTAGCCTCTCAGAGCCGTTTTTTTTTTTTAAAGATTTTATTTATTTATTTATTTGAGAGAGAGAGAGACAGCATGAGATGGGATAGGGTCAGAGGGAGAAGCAGGCTCCCCGCTGAGCCAGGAGCTCGATGTGGGACTCGATCCCAGGACTCCGGGATCATGACCTGAGCCGAAGGCAATCGCCCAACCAACTGAGCCACCCAGGCGCCCTCTCAGAGTCATTTTAAGGAGAAAGATTATATATGAAAATTATTAGCTCTGTGCCAGATACTTAGTAAGCATTCAATAAATGATGGCCATTATTAATTTAAGTATCTTTCTTATGCATATTATACTTGTCAACATTCCTGCAAATGTTTTATAGATGAGAATGGAAAAGTACCCAGTGTGGGAGTTGCCAAATACCAGGGCTCTGCCAGACCAATAGCATCTCTCTGGGGGGAAGAAAGCCCTGTAATTCTCTCTTTTCTAAACTACATGCCTATGGAGTTGGCCTTACAATTTTGAATTTGCCTCCGCACCCCCCTCCCCCAAAGGAGAGCAAGTTACTTTTGCTCAGTAGAAACCAAGCCTATATCCAAATTTTGGATAGAGGATTTCCATATTTAAAAAGAATAAAGATGACAGCCTTATATACTGTTGAGAAATTGCAAAGAAGCCCTGAAATAATTTCTCTGTATTTTTTGGTAGTCGAATAGGCTAACTTGCCTTGAGACTGAACCTGCAAGCATCTTTTTGTTCTCTTCTCTCTTGCTCATTAAAACCGTACGGAGACTGCACCCAGGCAGGAGTACCTCTAACACGTAGTGGATTGTGGAATGCAGCTGCACATCTGAGCTTGGGCAAAACATGTGGCTGTGGCTTCCTTATGTCTCAAATGAGAATAATGACAGACTTTCCCCTCTAGGATGTTGGAAAAGTTAAATAAGGTGGTTCTTAGACAACCACGCACATAGTAAGTGCCCACAGTAAGCTAACTATTGCTATTTTCATGTGTATTGATGTACTAGATATTTTGGTGTTCAGTTATATATTTCGAACTGCAAACTCATAAAATATAAATTAATGTTAGCTTCTTGCATTTAATGATCTGCATGTAATGATTCTGGAGGCAGCTAAATTTACCTTGATGTTGTGTTGGGAGCTATAGCCTGTTTTAAGAGATGTGACATCTGCTACTGATTTGGGGTGTCAGTTTGGTAAAATCCTGTAAGTCATTGGGGTGATTCCATCAGGCAGTAAAATAGCTGACTGTCGAAGAATCCTGTTCTCTGGGGAAGAATTCGGAATTTCACCTGTGCAAATCAGGCGGAAGTGTCTATAGCAATTAGGATTAGGTTCAACAGCAGAAAACCCCAAATCACAGTGGCTTAATCAGGTAGAAGTTAATCTTTCCTTTTTCTAAGTCCTGGGACACAAGGTTGGCATGGCATTCTATAGTGTCAGGGACCCAGGCTCCATCCTTCTGGTTCTACAGCAGGGCGCACCATCCAGCCCCAAGGGACTTCCCAGTCCACGTTGGCTGCTCCAGCTCCAGACATCAAATCTTTGTTCCAGTCATTCGGAAGGAGATAAGAACATGCTCTTTACCTTTAAGGACATTTTCCTACAGATTGCCCACACCATTTCCACTTAGGATCTCATTCCCAAGGCCCCTCCCAGCTGCCTAGCTGCAAGGGACACTGGTAAATGTAGTCCTTATCCTGGGAATGCATGCTGTGGGAAATGGATATTTGGGGACAATTAGCAGTCCATGCTGCAAGGTTAGAAGGGGTTAGAGCACTCAACCTAGATGCAGGGGCAAGAGTGCAGAAACAAATCCCAGGTGCACAGTGTGGACTTGGAGTAGCTTGTTGCCATAGTAACTAGAAAAAGCCTGAACATGCCAACTGTCTCGACAAAAAAAAATTGTCCTTGTCCCTCAGACCCTGTGTTCTGGCCAGAAGTCTCTGATTGATAAGTTCGTAAGTTTACGTCAGTCCTTGCTTGTGATGTTGAAACAACTTGTTTATTCTCCTAGTGCTGACCACGTTCCACCCTGGCAAAAGTTTAGAATGTGTTAAACAGAGTGAAGGGAAAGGAAATCCCAGAAGTAAGGTCTGTGGAGAGATCAGCATATGTTTGGTATTTGAAGTCTGCTTTATAATAAAAAGAAAAGGAAAATGTTTTGATACATTAGAGTCCGAGTAGCCTGATAATGCCGATTTAAAATGTAACTGAGCTGTGGTGTAATTTAGACTTGTAAATTTCCATTGGAAAAGTTTTTTTTTTTTTTTTTAATTAGGAAGTTTACCATGTTTGATTGTTTAGAAGAATCAGAGAGTCTTCAAACTTAGTTATAAGTTGAATTATAACTTCACTAGATGATTTAAATACTTAGGCAGGCTTTTGCAACATCAGTTTAAACAATGGAGGGGATTTAATGAATAGAGCTTTTATCTGGGCCAGTCCTTTGAAGCTATTTAGGGTTCTTTAAACACTGAACAAGAGACTCCTTGAAAGTAATTGTTAAAATATAGTCTATGTTAAAAGAGATTTGTAGGTTGAATTCAAAGACCTAAAGAAAAAAATTTTTTTGTTAATTTTTTTTCAGTTTATTTATTTAAGTAATCTATACCCAACTTAGGGCTGGAACTCATGACCTCAAGATCAAGAGCTGCAAACTCTTCCCATTGAACCAGCTAGGCACCCCCCAAAATGGGTTTTTTAATGATTTTCATATTAAAACATTTTTCAATGTACAATAATAATATAATAATAATAAACAACTCACAATGCCAACTTCAACTTTTTCCTGTTTTTATTTATTCATATACAAAATAAGAGGGCTCTAAGGATAATTTCTTTTTTTTTCTTTTTGTAGTTGAACTCTTTTTTTTTGTTTGTTTATTGCTTCACACTTAATCTTCTGTGGAACCCCCTGTTGGCCTTTGTTCTGAGACATGGCTCTCCCCCATTCCAAGTAGTTTGGGGGAGCTTCCAGCCATGAGACCCTCCCCTTCCTCAGTTACAAGGTGGCAGGCATCCCACACTAAGCCTGTCATGCATGCCACGTTCCTGAAGAGATCATTCTTTGCTTCTCTCCACCTAGAGCACTAGACGTTACCTTCCTGCTTCTTGTTTTTCAGCATAGGGGTCAAAAGCATTGACTCAGAAACCAGATTTTGTGTGTTCACATCGTGGCTAAGATGTTACCTAGCTGTGTGACCTTGGGTTTATTACTTAACCTCTCTGAATCTCAGTTTTCTGAGCTATAAAATCAGCATTATAATAGTGTCCACTTTCATATTTAGTATTGTTCTAAAGCTTACATACGTTAATGTAAAGCTCTTGAATAGTGACAGACAGATAGTAGGTGCTCAATATATGTTTATTATTATTGTTGTTGTTGAGCTTTCCTTTCATTTATGTAGAATGAACCTACATTTTTCCATTGAATTCCATTTGCCCTCCTTACTCTTTTAACTCTGAACTGTTTCTGTTCCTTGCAAGCAACATTTTCTGGCTGAGACAACCCTGGTATAAAAAAAAGATATCCTCAATGCAGGGGAAGGGGACCCTTGGACCTCCTTTACCTGCTACAGCAGCTTAAGATCCCCTCCGTGGATCATGGACACAGCTGGAGACCCATCGGATCCAGTCACGCCAAGGGCTCCTCAGTCTGTGGGCTCTGATATTTTTTCTCTGTTTACACCTGCAGTCCTGGCCCTAAGGGTTATGTGCTGAATAATGACCTCAAACTCTGGACAAATATGCAAACATATTTGGGATGTTCACAAGAATCTCTTCCCGTTAAGACAAAGGAATAAACTCATAATTTTACAATATATTCAGCAAGGGTCAATTGAAAAAGGAGAAAGGAGGAGGAGGGAGGAGGTGGGGAGGGAAGAGGAGAATGAGAGGGGGGAGGAGGAGGAGGGGGAGAAGATTACCATTAGCAGCAGCATCTCAGGACTACCTGGACATCCCATTGACGCACCCAAGGTGTTCTTCTGTGATCCCCCCTCATCTGCAGGATATAAGTGATTCCACGTCAGCAGGACATGCAGACCTCCGTGGACTGCCCTTGGCTGCCTCCCCATCCCAAATCCTGCCCCTTCTCTCCTCTCCTCGTCGTATTTTGTTTCCTAAGCACCAGACTCCTGTTGCATCCTGTGTATTCTATGTTCTCTCATCCCTCCATATTTTTGTGTATTGCCTTCTTGCCATCTTGTCCAGCCAGCCCTGACTGCTTGGCTTCAAGCTGCAGATGGCACACTGTCTTCCCTGCAACAGCCCCTGGTTTTCCCAGGCATGTTCTCGAATCCCTCCCCACCGTGCTCATTGTACCTTACACATAATCTCCCTTTTGCACTCAACAGATGTGACTGTCTTGTAGGCAGGGTGTGTGTCGCTCCCATCATTTTGTGCTCACCCCGCCTTGTCCCTGACCCAGAGCTGGTGATCTGGAACATTTACTATACATGGTCTTCCCCAGACCACGCTATCTTTCTCTGATGTTCTTCCCCAGACCATGCTATCCTCTGATGCGCCCTTCCCTGTGCCCGGCTGTTAGGGCATAATCCCAACTGAACATTGGTTTTGGGGGAAAGCACTAGTTCATTTTCTGCATTTCCCTTTAAAAATGCATGATGAAGGCAGAGATTGTCTTCCTTTTTCCCTGCTAGGTTTCCAGGGCTTAACATGAAGAAACTTAAGAAAATATATGTATTAAATAGAATACACCCATCCATGTATCTACCTACAGATCTCTCGGTCCAAGACTACCATGCCCTTAAATGAAGTGATCTCCCCCGAACAGATGGGTTGTCATGTTCTGATGGCCCCACCATGAGAAGCTGTCTGAGCTTCCCCAAGAAGCAGAAATGCGTTACTTGCAATCTGTAGATGCCAGGGTTTGGTGTCAAAATGAGCTGATTCTGATACCCATGAGCAATAAATCTGGTCCTGTGATACCAAGACGAAAAGAAAACATGTCAGTGCCACTCTCTGGGGACAGTGTGACAACATCAAAATAAACTCACGGCAAATGCTGTTAGCTTGGACAGAAGGGAAATGTTTGGACTTCCCTAGACATGAGACCCCCAGGCAGGGGGAGGATTCCTGGGTGCATGGCTCCTCTCCGCACTCCCCTGCCACCCCCAGCCTGACAATGTCTCAGCCTGACCCCTTGAAGCCTACAGAAGAAGTCACAGGCTCTGAGTTTCTCCCATCGCCATTCATCTAGGAAGGTGATGAAAGAAATCTTACCTTGTTTATTTTATGCAATAGTTTAAGACGATATGAAGTGTTTTATGGACAGGTAATAGCTTGGAAAAAAATTTAAAAAGCCAAACCAAACCTTCACCTATCCCAAATTTCTGGGAAAGCTGAAGTAGCCATGTGCCAGCCTATGCTGGGCACCCACCGTTTGCCAGCTCCAGTGTGATCCGGCAGACAGAGAAACAGACCCCGGAGCTCTAATCCCAATGCGCTCCGTTCCCTAGGAGACCCACTGTCACAGCGTGCACACCAGTGCACCCCTCCCACAGCGGCCCAGGCCACCGGGCAGCGGCAGGAAGCTTCGAGCACACAGAATGACACCTATTCAATAATCTCTAAGTTGCCAGGAATGCATCTAGCCCTGGAGTCGCATCTTGAGCCCCGAAGCTTAGGTCTCTACAGCCGCACTTTGTCCCTGCAACAGGATACCACAGCTCACTCTGTAACCACGTACAGGTTACTTAACCTCTCTGAGCCTTCCCTTTCTCATCTGTAAAATGCAGGGAACTCACCACAACCTCACAGACCTCTTGTGAGGAATAATTATGGCAAAATTTATATAAATCTTAAGACCATTTATGTAAGATCTCAGGACCATCCCTGACCCGCAATGATTCACATTAGCGCCCGGGTTCTCTTTAGAAAAGAGAGGCTCAGAACTAGAGGAGCCCCTTATCAATTCAAACCTTTCCTTTTATTGCTAAAGAAACTGTGGCCCAGAGAAACTCACTCACTTCCTCAGAGTCCTGCCTACAAGGTCACAGGAGAGTTAGTTGACTTGTATGTTTACTAAGCACATAAATAATACTTACAATGTATCAGACAATGTGCTAAGTGTTCAACAAATACCAGTAAGCTTAATATTTGCAGAAACCCTATGACGTAGGAATCATTGTTATCTGCACTTTCCAGATGAGGAAACAGAAGGTTCAGAGAATTGCCCAGTGACAGGCTTGTAACTAACGGAAGAGGGATGCAAACCCTGGCAGTCGTGCTTGGTCTGCCGTCAAGTCTGTGCACTGGACCACTGCGGCCAATTGCTGGAATGCTCCTGATGCTTCTTTTTTTTTAAAGATTTTATTTATTTATTTGAGACAGAGAGAATGAGAGGGAGGAGGGTCAGAGGGAGAAGCAGACTCCCTGCAGAGCAGGGAGCCCGATGCGGCACTCGATCCCGGGACTCCAGGATCATGACCTGAGCCGAAGGCAGTCGCTTAACCAACTGAGCCACCCAGGCGCCCCTGATGCTTCTTTAATACCCACCTCCAGCCAAGGGCACCTACTCTCTCCCTCTCTGTCATGCTCTGCCTCCTCCTTCCTCCCTTCCTCCTGCCTCTTAGCTAATAATGAGAGGGAAGTTACTTTCTCTTAGAATCCCACTGAGCAAAGGCTAGGGAAGCAAAAGCTTCCTTGTTATTACTTTACGGAGAGAAGAATTCCAAAGAAGCTGGAGAGAGAAGGGGGAGGCACATGGGGAGGGAGGGGAACACCCTGGAGGGTATGATACCCGGGGCTTCACGTGGTATTGTTCTATCTCAGGGACTGTCCCTAAGAGGCTCAGGAACTTCTGCACCAGGGAGCAGACTGTGGGGTGATGGGGAGGGAGAGGGAAGGGAGCAGGTTCACAGGTTCCCACTTCCCATCCATCAGAGATCTGGCTTCATGGGTCCCCGGCCACGGATGCGGGTCATGCCCAGGCTCCAGGAATCACGTCTCAGGAGCAACAGAGAACCCCCCCAGGGTGGAGGGGAAGCCTGTCACTGTGGGAGGGGCTGGAACCCTGCAGGGTGGGGTGGGAAAGTTGTCCAAGGTCAAGGTTGGACCCCTTGAGGGAGGCTGTGAGGAGCTGGGGTGGGTGCTGGAGGGCGGGGCTGTCTGATACACCTGCCTGCAGAGCTGTTGAATCCTCTCAACAACATCCAGATCCAGCCAGGAGCTCCCAGTCTACCGTATGTTCTTCGTTCCTAGTTTATGCTTAGGCTAATGGTCTCTAATTTGGGGCAGGTCTCTTTCTATCGCTTTTCCATTTATTAAATGGGATATTATGAAGATCAGATGAGCTAATGAACAGGCAAGGCAGGCATCCAAGGTTACGCAATGGGTGGATGGTAGAGCCAAAAGAAACATCTAGCTTTTGCAGTGACATTGGGGTACTTTTCAGGCAACACTTTAGAGGAAGAAACTCTTAACCATCTCCATGCCCACCACAGAGTGAGAGCCTCATGCACCCTTCGTGGGCATCGTCCGTAAATGGCTGTGCACCCCCTCATGTCAGGGCCACACGGCTGGAAACAGAAACCCGTGGAGAGTCAAGAAAGTGCATTCTCCTTGTTCCCTGCCTTCTCAGTTGTCAAAAAAGGGCTTCATTCCCAATTTATAAACAATGCCCCTGCCTCAAGATGGCATCAGTTGCTGACAAATACTCCCTTCTTTACCTGATCGTGACACAGGTCAATGAAGCAACGACAATATTGGATAATCTTGACAAACACGAGATAAAAATAATGATCATTTGTTAAGCATCTCTTAGCACCAGAAACTGTGCTAGGTGCTGTCTATCCAGTAGAATTGTTAACATATATTATGTGTTTCTGCCTTTCTGGGCACTGCTCAATGCAGGGTAATGTGTGCAACTCATTCTGTCCCTCCAGCAGCCCTGGGAGATCGGTACCGGTGTGAATAGTCTCTAGGTCACAGATGAGACAAATGAGGCTCAGAGAAGTTAAGTAACTCACCCCCTGTCACACAGCTGGTGACATGGGATTGCAATTACCGTTCAGGCCTCTGGCTCTGCTAGAGTCCATGCTGTACACTTGTACTCGCTGCTAGTTAAGACTCAGCACGGCTCAGCTGTGGCCCCCCCGGGATTGACAAAGGGCAACCTCTTTGTGAAATGTGCTACCCAGCCAACCTCCCCAACCCTACCGACCCCTTCCCACCCTCCGCGCCTCTGCCGGTGCAAACCCTTATCAACATTCCAGTTCTATGACCTTGAACAAGTCCCCTTCACCTCGGGTCCTCTGTGTTCTTATCTGCAGACCGAGGGGAAGAAACTCTTCATAAGGGTCTCAAGAAGCATGCTTGGCATTGTGTGGGAAACATATCCATGCCAGGAACCAAGAGGAGTTTAGCTAATGCCCGCTTTCTTCCCTTCCGCCTTCTGAACTGCTGAACTTGAGCTGAGATTAGTTTGCAACATGAACCAGGTGCCTCCCACCCGATGTGTCCTTCCTGCACTTGCACGAGTCCTGGGAGTGAGCACACTGTTATATTTATCACGGTATGTGTCTCTCCTCCTCCCGGGTCATGTAAGGGGAAAGATTCTGGGTTCACCTCTTCGTCACTGCCCTGGGGCCGTTCACGGTCTCTGCCAAGCACAGAAATTTCGTAGATAAACACTCCGCTGGATAAACAAGTGAACAATGCAATAGTGTATTTTGGGGTGCATAACAAGCATGCAATAATGACGTGACGACTTGGGATTTGACTTTGTTAGACCTGTGTGTGCCTGGCTGGATCTCCAGGGGGACAGAGCTGACAGGGATGATCTTTTAGCTTTTCTGGGCTCAGCTCGGTTCAGCCAGCATTTTGCTAACACCCACAATGAGCCCAAGGTGGGGACAGGCAAAGGCCTGACAGTCATGAGGAGTGCACGGCTCTGCCCACATTTCTGGGCTCATCATGCCAGTTCTTCCAGAGTCCTGCACAAATTAGCTACTCAAGAAGCATTTTTAATGAATACACCTTTGTCCATGTCCTTTGCCCAGGCTCACAACACAGGAGAAAAAGGAAGCAGACAGGCTCCAAGAGAAAAGAAATTTGAGGTGTTTACCTTCTACATTCTCTCTCTCTCTCTCTTACACACACACGGACACATATGCTGTATTTTCCAGGTTTAAGGGGAAGCCATCTCAAGTAGCACGGAAATAGTGGGCCTGGCCCTCCTTCCAGTGGGGGTTTAAAATAGTCTGATGACTGTTTAGCCCGGGTTTGCAATGGAACATTTCACACCCCCAGGAGGGACATGCCCAAGCTCCCTCCGCCGAGGAGGGGCCTGGCACAGGACATGTGGGGCCCGGACGCTCTCCAGATGGAGGCCACGCTGACATCCCCACAGCGGGCCTGTTGTTCAATTCATCAGCGCACAAAGGCATCCACCTCAATTAGAGTGATGCGCAGGCTAAGCAGGGCCAGGGGCCAGGCAGGACGCGCCACACCGCCTCTGTCGTGACCAACGGGTGACAGACGATCCCACGTCATCTGATTTAGCATGAAGGAACCACATTCCAGTGAAGATGGGGCCTGTCCAGGAGACAGTGTTAGTTTGTGCTGACGGGTGGTGGACCGGAGCTCCCTGCTCTGTGACCCCAGTAATCGGCCTTCACAGGAGTAACATGAGGCTGAAATTGGACGAGGCCTGCGGATGGCCCGTGGTGGAGAGACACCTGAAAGGACATGTGCCCCTTTTATAGGGAACAACTTCTGGAGAGGGCATTGACCTTCAGCGTAAAGCTCGACGACCTTGTACATGCCAGGCACCTGTGTAGGCAAGTGCCAGCAAGAGGGCACAGCCCAATCTCGGCATTTTGGAAGTAAATACCTCCTCCTTCCCCTTCCCTCAATGTACGTTACCCCTAGGTCCTGACAGGGATGAGAAAAAACCTTTGAAATGTAGCACGCTATTGGAAAACAGATGTTAACTAGGAAATTGCCCCAATTTATTGCTGCTCTTGCTGCAATTTTTTTCCCACCAGGTATGTACCGAATATCGTTATCAACAATACGATGACCATTTATAAAGAATTTGCTTTGCCAAGAAGTTATAAAGACATGGCACCATCCTGTTGCCACATGCCCAGCTCCCCTTGTCCCAGTTGCTGCATTTTGAGAGACGCCCTCAGAGATTGCCAAACCTGAGGGTCAGTTCTACTCCAAATCACGCCACTAACAAGTTACCTCCACTGGGCAAGTCAGCCTGCCTCCTGGAGCCTGAGACTCCCCATCTGTAAAATCTCAGGGGTGGGTGACATTTGCTTTTTTCTTTCTATGTGCTTTAAAGGTGAAGACTCCTCCATCCCCAAGACCACTCAGGCCTGGCTCCCTCCAAATCCTCAGACACAGTTCAGATATTGCTAGCCTACATGGAGTCTCTATGCAATTAGAGAGAGGTGCACCTGCTGGGTGGATGCAGCCGCATAGCGCAGGGAACAGGTGATCTCCTCGTAAGAAGAAAAGGGCTTTGGACAGATAGAGTCTTGCACCAGGGAACACATTTGGCCAGAAGAGAGTGGGTTGGCTTTGAGCCTCTGCTCATCTTCTTTGTGCAGTGCACAACCTACAGAACTGTAGATGGTGGCAGCCTAACAGGTCTCTCCTATGTTGATGTAGACCTTTGTCACTCCTGACTTAGCTGACTTCAGCCTCCCTGACGGGGCCTCCAGCATGGATCCCCCACAACTCCAGGCTGTGGAGTGCATCCTTGGCATTTGAGGATTTTCCTTTCTTGGTTTTGACTCTTGCCAAACCCATTCAGAAGGTTCGCAGTAGAGGGATTAGTTTAGAGCACTGGCACTCAACCCAGGCATAGCCACTCATTAGTTTGGTGACTCTGGTCCGATTCTTTATGCTTACCAAGTCTCTGTTTGCTCATCTGTAAAATGGGACAATGATGGGTGTCTCCCTGGGTGTATTGATTGGGAAGAGTAAACAGGGTCACTTGGGACGGCCACTGGACACATAGTAGGCGCTTGATAAGGGGGGCTGTTCCCAGGATGGTTCTCTGATCCAGATTCTTTTTAAAAGCATACAATTTATTCTCGGTGTGTGGGCCATAAAACATCAGCCATGGGTAGATTTGGCCTGTGGGTCACTAAGTATTGCATGAAGGAGGGCACAGGATGTGATGAGCGCTGGGTATTATAAGCAACTGATGAATTATTGAGCTCTACCTCTGAAACTAATGATGTACTGTATGTTGGCTAATTGAATTTAAATTAAAAAAAATAAGTATCTGAAGGAGTCATTTACCTTTTAATTTTTCAGTTATCCTTCATTGAATTTTATGCAGGAAAACATGATTGTGCATGTGTGTGTTTGTGTTCTAAAAATTGGAAGATTCATGACATTTGTGGGGAGCTCTATCCCTCAATGACTGACTCTATAGTCAAAATACAAGCCCCCTTTTATCGAGTGTCCGTATGTGACAGGCCTGGCACATCCAGTATTTGACATATATTTAATTCAACCTCCAGAGGTTGGGATCATCCCCATTTTATCCATGAGGCCAGGGAAACTCAGAGTGAGTAAGTAATTGACCCAAAGTCATCCAGCAAATCAGAGGCAGAGCCGGATCCTATCTTGGTTCTGTTTGCCCCTCGAGCCCTGGGTTTTCAGCGCTGTTCTCTCCCAACCTCTACCTTCCTTAGCTGACCCCTTGGGTCCCATCCTGGGTCCTGAGCTGCCACATTTCCCTAGTCCCAACCCCATCATGGAGAGGGATGGAAGATTCTGCTTAGCACCATTGGCATATATTCTGAGCCAGGTGCCTTTTGTCTCCTAGCAGTCTCTGAGTCCAGCAATGTTGGGAGAGAAGGTCCAAAAAGGACAGTCAAGTCCAGAAAATCCTCAAAGAAGAGAAGACAGGAAGGACTCAGCCAGCGCTGGATCCCGAAATCGCCTAGAGAATGGGAGGTGGGACACAGCTGTCTTATCTCTGAGCCGAGGGCACCCGGGGACTTCAAGGGAGAGACGTCCGGGTTGCTGCATAAGCATCCAAGTGCTCTAGGATCAAGGCAGTTCAGAAATTCAAAGAAACCAAAGACGCGGAAACAAGAGGGGCAGTTTTACATAATATATGTCAGCAATGGTAACGAGTGCATCACCAGAAATGTACTATTGATCTCATTGGGGCAGCAGAACATTTTGTCTTGCCAGAGGTTGTGAGGTCAGCCGTTGGCTGATAAGCAAAGCAGTTATAAGCTTTTCTGGTCAGATGATATTTTTGAGACGTTTGGAGCTGTCTGTGGTTGGACCAGGAGCCTGAGCCTCCAGCTATTCTTATTGCTAATGGTGAAAATGCCTCTTGAAAGTCTGAAGCGATAGCCCTAGACAGGTGTTTCCTGAACTCTTATGAACATACAAATCGCCCAAGGGGCTTGTTAAAAATGCAGATTCTAATCCAGCAGGTCTGGGGCAGTGCCTGAGACTTTGCATTTCTAACCAGCTCCCAGGGGCTGCTGATGCTCCTGGTCAATGGACCACGCTCCAAAGTAGTGAGCCTCCCTGCACGACATCCTATGCACAGCTGGCCCTGACTTTGAGTGACCTCCAGGAATCACGTAGGGTCGCTTTGCGAATCAGTTTATAGCTGAGTCATAACAGAAGGAGCCACCACACTAGGGAACAGGATACAAGAGTCCCAATTTGGTCTCTTTCTTGTCTGTAATGGGGTCTTTGGCAAATTATTTTGGCTCTGAGACTCTCCATGTCCTCACATATGAAGTAGGGAAAATAAATACCCGCAGAAAGGCTGAAAGGAGTAAATGAGGTAATGTGTGTAAAGAGACTCAGCGCATGTGTACATGTATCTGAGTCTGAGATTATTCCCAAGGCCAGCCCCCACTCCAAGTACCCTCAGGGCACCCGTGGGGGCCACAGACTGGAGCCCAAGAGTGCCCGTGGTGGGTGTCGGCTCCATGCTTGAGAGTTTGGAAAAGCCCTTTTTTCCCCCAACATCTGTTCTCACCCTGTCCCCAGCCTGGATGTCCCTCTTTTCCCTTCTTCCTTGCATGTCCCTCCGCTCCCTTGCTGTCACCACCCCCACTTGCTTGCACCCCCCTTCCTTGCTCTGTTTAAAAGTTTGAAGATCCCCCCTCCTGTCAAGATGGGGCCTTTCAAAGCCCCTCCTGCTGCCCAGCCCCTCAGGCCCCTAGAACTAAGCCCCACCAGCCAGGCCAGCAGGATGGACAGGGAGGAAACTGCCACGGGGCCCCTACCCCTGACCTTGAACTGTCCTTCATATGGCTTCGCTCACTGGCGGCTTCCTGCTTCTTCCTGACCTGGTTCATTTTACCTCAAGTACAAGCGCCTTTCACTGCCCCTCCAAAGGCTGCCCGCGCGTAGCAGGAGGGGCCCTGACTCCCTGCTGGAGGACCAGGGCTTACCTATCAGCCCCGATGACACCACAAGCACCAGCCACAAAAGAAAACATAGAAACAGGACTTCTTCCAAATGCAAAACGTCTATGCATGAAGGAGCATTATCA